AGGCTCATTTCCCCCGTGCTTGTTCTCATGTTTGCTCCTTGAATCTTGAGCTTTCTTTCCCACAGAAACAGTGGGATGTGATAGTATACCTAAAAACTTAAAAGTACTGGCCTGAGTTCTGGGTCTTAGGAACAAGAATCATAGAAGAGAATAGAAGAAGCAGAGGCAAAGGCTTGTCTTGTTGTTCAACACAGTTCCCATGATACACAAAAGTATGATGAGAAAAAATGTTTCTCCTTCAAGGTCCTCTGTACTTTCGGCTTCCCTTTACTCTACGTACAGCAATGGCCTTCTCAGATCTGCCTTTTTCCTCAGGAGTCAGCCAGGCTTTGAAAATAACCTTTATTTGTCTTCCCCAATAATCAGAAATGCTTAGCAGTCTCTAGAGTGCTTTAGGAAGAGTCTGATTGAGTCCATTAACGCTAATGGGTAAAAGACTGGTTTGCCCATTCGTGTGTGTGTGTGTGTGTGTGTGTGTGTGTGGTGTGATACTGAAACACACATCATTAGGGCATGGTAGAAGTAACTGGTTTTTTTTTTTTTGATTGTGTGAAGGTTACAGTTGGTAGAGTTAGATAATAATAATATTCAAAAACAAAACCAAGAGGCCAGTGCGATGCATTCGTAGGTAAATGTGTGAATGAAACCACCAAGATTGATGACCTAAGATCCCTGGGACTCACATCATGAAAAGAGAAAACAGACTCCCACAAGTTGTACATACAAACACACACACAAACACACAGAGAGACAGAGACAGAGAGAAGATAGAATAAATAATAACATAATGAAAGAAAAATAACTTTGAGCTTCATGAAGTAATAAAACTGCACAGAGAAGAAACTATGATAATACATAACATTGCGTGGTCAGCTCGACACTTGGAAGGTGCCACTTACGGTTACACACAACTGTAGATGAGCAGACAGTTTTGTGCACATGAAGAGGGAGAGTGTTTTATGCAGTCAGGAAAACCCTGAGATAGCAATTGATTCAGTTGTGGAGAACAGAAGCAGGGTGGTAAGCCCAAAGAACAGTGGGCAAAGAGAACAGAGGGGAGTGTCATGGGATAACCAGATGATGTAAGTCTGCCAGGGACACTGAAGCCTCTGAGGGTGATCCTAAGTGAGAGAAGGAGCCACCTGGAGACCATAAGCAGAACTTTGGTCTGACTTGCTTCTTTAGAATATCTTCATAAAATATCCATATTATGTAAAAAATATTGCCGGGTGGTGGTGGCTCATGCCTTTAATCCCAGCACTTGGGAGGCAGAGGCAGGCAGATCTCTGTGAGTTCGAGACCAGCCTGGTTTACTAAGAGTTCCAGGACAGGCGCCAAAAACTACAGAGAAACCTTGTCTCAAAATTAAAAAATAAAATTAAAAAAAAAAAAAGATCTCCAGTGGAAGCAGAGAAATAAGAGGCCCTTGTAGGGTCATAAGACAGAAGAGGGGCAGCTATGTGAACCTGTCAATTACACGTTAGATGGAAGTCATGCTGGAGCTGAAGATGAAGGGAAAATAGGAATCAAGGCTTCCTGAGTGGATGATGATATTGTTTTTCACCCATCAGACATGAAAGCAGGGAAGGTAAATGCTATGTACCTCTGCTTGGGAAAGCAGGGGCTGCTGTTCTACATGTATCAGGCAAGAACTGGTATATAGACTGGTATAGAGATGCTGTGTATGTTATGAAACTGTCCCAAAAAATTGTGGGAGGAGAAGGGACAGGGCTGAGGACCAAGCTGTGGCTCACTCCATCAGTCCAAGATTAGAAGAGACTGTCTGGAAGCTTCTTCCTTCATCTAGGACAGTGACTTAGAAAAGGGGCCTTGATCAGAACTTTTACAACTCACAAATGCTTTTAGTATCTTAAACACTTTTGGCAATGTAGCAGGATACAAGATTAACTCAAAAAAATCAGTAGCCCTCCTGTACACAGATGATAAAAGGGCTGGGGAAGAAATCAGAGAAACATCATCCTTCACAATAGCCACAAATAGCATAAAATATCTCGGATTAACTCTAACCAAACAAGTGGAAGAGCTGCATGACAAGAACTTTAAATCTTTGAAGAAAGAAACTGAAGAAGATACCAGAAAGTAGAAAGCTTTCCCATGCTCTTGGGTAGGTAGAAATAACATAGTAAAAATGGCAATCTTACCAAAAGCAATCTACAGATTCAATGCAATGCCCATCAAAATCTCAGCAAAATTTTTCACAGACCTTAAAAAAAAACAGTACTCAACTTCACAAGGAAAAGCAAAAAACTCAGGATAGCCAAAACAATCCTATACAATAAAGGAAATTCTGGAGGCATCACAATCCCTGACTTCAAACTCTACTACAGAGATACAGTACTAAAAACAACCTGGTATTGGCATAAAAACAGACAGGAGGGCGAATAGAACCAATTTGAAGACCCAGATATTAATTTACACACCTACAAACACCTGATTTTTGACAAAGAAGCAAAAAATATAAAATGGAATAAAGAAAGCATATTTAACAAACTGTGTTGGCATAAGTGGTTATCAACATGTAGAAGAATGAAAATAGACACATATCTATCACAATGAACAAAACTCAAGTCCAAATGGATCAATGATGTCAACATAAAGCCAGCCAAACTGAACCTCATAGAAGAGAAAGTAGGACGTACATTCGAACATATTGGCACAATAGATCACTTCCTAAATATAACCCCAGTAGCACAAACACTGAGAGAAACAATTAATAAATGGGACCTTCTGAAACTGAGAAGCTATGGTAAAGCAAAGGACACGGTCAACAAGAAAAATAGATTAAGAAAATGTTGCACATTTATACAATGAAGTACTACACAACAGAAAAAAATAATGGCATCTTGAAATTTGCAGGCAAATAGATGGATCTAGAAAACATCATATTGAGTGAGATAATCCAGACCAAGAAAGACAAATATCACATCTACTCACTCATAAGTAGATTTTAGTTATAAAGAAAACCAGCCTACAAATCACAATCTCAGAGAACCTAGACAACAATGAGGACCCTTAGAGAGACATACATGGATCTAATCTACATGAGAAGTAGAAAAAGACAAGATCTCCTAAGTAAATTTGGAACATGGGAAGGGGAGAGGAGGGAGGGAACAGAGAAAAAGTATAGCTCAATAAAATTAATAAAGAAAGAAAAAACCAAAAAGAGGCCTTGCTCTGCTGTCATCTGTAGCTTTCAAGCACTAGGAAGAGTGAGGACCCTTATGAGTAGCCACCTCCTCCCCTGCCCCACCAGCACATGAATGAGCTCTTGGCATCTGCTGGTGTGATGAGAGAAATGCCCATTCATCCACAAAGCCAGAAACTTTCCCCCATATATTTGGAACAATACGGTAAACAATATTTTCAATGAGGCATGCGGGCATTCAATCCTGCCCCAGGGCTAGAAGAATAGCATGGGGGAAGTTTTCAGTTGTGATATGGCCATCACAGAGTCTAAGTATCAGAGCCTTTGGTAGAAAGAGAAAGCAATTCATCAGACAGTAGGCAGTAACCCTTCAGCTTTAGAAGTGTCAAGACATCAGCTGGGTCTATGGTCATCAGTGCTGACTAAGAGCAGGTTGACATGGAAAACATTCATTTTATTTTTGTCTTAATTTTGTCCACTTGTAGCAATCAAGTGTTGTGTTCCAGAAACAATAGCATCATTTCTCCCCTTTTAGGTGTCTGAGATACAATAAAACAGATGCCAGAATCAATGTGATGGATACGGCCAAATGATACAGTCATTTAGCATCTTTAATTACTTAGCTTTTGGAGGTAAGGAGATTCCATATGCACACACATGCACACAAACAAATATACATGTAT